CCTTCCATCCATCCTTCCATCGTGGCCAGAGCCGCTAACTCTCCAGTGTTCCTCCAGCTACACCAGCTGAGTGACACGAGCGTGCACGGGAGGACTCACTGTTGCAGTTCTTCAAATTTTAAAACGTCAGTCAAAAATTGCGTTATGAATATGGGAAAAAAAAGTTTCTAAGTCGCTTCGGACTGGCAAATCTATGCAAAAACCTTATACGCCAGAAAATACTGTACTATTCCTACGTAGTGGTTTTTCACTTACCGGGGGGGGGGGGGGGGGGAAACAGAAACCCCCGCGATAAACGATTAACTATTGTATGTACATATATATTTTTATAAGCTAGCAAGGTTGCTTTAATTCTAAAACGTTCACATCCTAAAGAGGAATATTTAGTTTTCTTGAATCTTTAGTCAGTTTAGATAATTCACAGTTTTGTTTGACTCACTGCTATAAACTCCCTCACTTTCCCAAAACTGTTAAAATATTCTCATTTCAGCCACATTTCCTTTAAAAATTAATAAGGTCTTGTGCAAACAGATTTTTTTTTTTCCCCCTTTTCTAAAATTAATCTCATAATTTATACATATCTAATAACTTTATTTCTCAGGCAGAATATGACAGTTGTGTTGAAAATAATTGCATTTCTCACGAAAATCACGACTGTTGGACAAATAATGAACGGTGTCTCTTGGAAATCCTTTATTTGATAAACCACATTGTTTTGCATCTGTAAGCGCTTCATAATTATACGTTTATTGTTCAGCTGCGTTCGTTTTAGGAACCTGATAAACCTGCAGCTGCGAACATATCTTCAAACATAACGCCTTTGTTTTCACACATTTCTGTCTCTTGTTCAATTAGATTGTTATTTTGACTCGTAGAAACCAAAACCTCCGAGCAGACCGTTCTGGGAGAGTTTCAGATCAGTTAAAAAACATTTCGGCTGATGTTCTGCGGCAGCCGAAGCTCAGATGGAAACTGGTCCTGAAGGAAACTCCATCTTACATTTCTCTGGACGTTTGTAAAGATTAAATCTGTTCTGCATGTATCTCACATTTATCTACAATTTATTGTTATTTTTCTTTACTTAGTTGATGTTTACTCTAATGTTCAATCTAAATGTAATTTATCTTCCAACTCTTTATATTTTATAATCCAGCTGTTTGTTCCCTTCATTTAATCTAAAGCACGTGTCAAACTCAAGGTCTGCAGACCAAATCTGAATGAACATTTGTTTTCCTCCCTGCAAAACATGTTAAATGTAGCTCTCAGATTAAATTAGAACAAAACGAGATTAAATACAATCTTAAATGCAGCTCTTAGATCTAATTACAGCTGCTGATGGTTTTTATTTGACTTTCGTCTGCTCGTTATAAATACAGAAGACAAGTTAACGCTGAGCATTGAACATTTCCCTCTTATAATAAAATAAATAAGAAATGTGCCGAGTACAACTGCAGTTCATATAATTTTCAGCAAAGTCGTGCTTCGTAAAAGTGGATCTATACACGAGATTATTTCTGTTTCTGTGTGTATTTGATGGTGAATGAATTATGATCAGATCAGAGTATTTTAATGTGTAAATAATATCAGCAGGCATCTTATCAGTTCTCAAAGCTTGTAGTTAATCTCATTAATCCCGTCTCTCTGTGGATGATCCCTGTCACATCACACTGCATATGTGCAGATGTTGCTGCTTATTGACACGTTTTGTGTTGCGTTTGTGCACGTGTACGCTGTGGGATGTAAGGACTTCACAACTTTATTAGGAAGTAGTTGCCGTTTATTTAGTGATACAGTTAGTTACGTACGTTTCTTAATCATAGTTTTTTTTCTTGGTATGAACAGTTACACATATGTTGTATTCAACAGGTCATTTAAAGTTTTTCTAACATTTTATCTGGTATAGATAATTTAGTTTGTAGAATCGTCACTGGTTATGAAGAAAACTTTCCTCCAGGATACTGTGTTTTGGTACTACATAATACGGTGCAGAGGGTATTTTGTGATAAAAGTACTGTATGGTGCAGTCAAGACAAACTCGTGGAGCTCAGCGTTTTAAAGAAATAAATGTAATGTTGGTTTTAAACATGTTCTCAGATAAAGTTCAGCTTAAAGTCAGCTGTCAGTGTTCTTCCATCACAATATGCTGATTTCATTTTGTTTTATTAATCCCAAGTATTTAGTACAATTCTCTTCAAATGGCTGAAAAATGCGTATATTTGAGTTGATTTTTTTTATTTTCAGAGGGGTTATGCCCCCAGACCTTTAGGACTGTTTCACGGCTGAGTGGTTAGAGCAGTCGTCCTCCAATGCAAGAGTCGAGGGTTCGAATCCACCAGCAGTCACATGCCGAAGTGTCCCTGGGCAAGACACTGAACCCCTCGTTGCCTCTGTGTATGAATGTGATAAAGCTCTGATTAGTGTCTTGATCAGATAGAAAGGTGCTTTATAAGTACAGTCCATTTACTATTTACTTCACAGCTGCTCACTAATTGAGTTTAGATGTTCCTCTTAGCCATGAGCAAATGTCGGCTGATACTCTGTTTCAGATTTGATCTATTGTCTGTTTTATTTAGTCATTGGTGGTCAATTAATTAGTCATTAATTATTTAGTGGATTATAAAACATATAGAGTTGGAAGAGAAATAACATTTAGATTGAACAATATACACAGAGGGAACATTAGAGAGAGCTGAAGTGGCAATAAATAGATAAATGTGAGATTCATGCAGAAATGGAAGATGCACTTTTGTCACGTCAGCTCGGGCTGCTGCCGAACATCAGCTGGTGTTAAAAAGTGCAAACGCTGTTTATTGATCAGAAAACAACGTTACTTCTGCAACAGAGGAATCTTTTCTTGACTTCCACCCCCCCCCCACCCCCCACCCCCCGTACCTGTCTGTGTCGAGTTTTCTCAACTTTTCTCCTCCTCCTGCCCTGGACACCGGAGAGCTTTGCTTGTTTGCATATTATTAATGTATTTTGGGCTCGTGAGCACCGGAGGAGCGACCGGAGCAGGTACAATCGAGGGGAGGAGGAGGTGACCTTTGTGTTTGCCTACAGGCCGACTCCGAGACGTCAACCAAATTCGACGCAGAGTTTTTGAAAAGTTCTTAAGACTTGACATGCATGATAATGATGTGAGGTGCACTACATTCAACGAGGGTGAAAACTGGAAGGATTTATTGCAAATAGTTTTCGTCAGTGGGCGTGGGCGGCGTGGGACACTTGAGCAGGCAGTGAAATCACCGCCTGTTATTGAGAAGGCAGAGTATCCAAAGCTTCGTCTCCTTCCCTTTCCATGTGCACAAGATGTTTTAAAATCTTTCTTTTAAATTTGACATTTTTAGCCAAGATTTTCCACCGATTTTGCATTTAATCTTAAACGTTTTGGGCCTCTGTAGCCATTTAAAGCTGATTAGCTTGTTTTTTTTTTTTAGCTCACAGAGAAAGTTAAAGTAACCTGGTGTTCTTAAATTGCTGAAATTTGAAACTCGAAGCACGTTTCTGTTCTCGCTTCTCTGCAAAGCAATATAAAAGAAACAATATGTGGCGCTCCGGTTTGCAGCTGTCGTGCCTTCACACGTAATTTCATCTTAAGGTTTTTAGATTCGGTGGCGTTTGCTTTCATTTTGGCACCTAAAACAGCTGCACGGCGTTCATGTGCAGAGTGTTTTACTTTTCATTCTGGTTTCCATATTAAGAGTTTATTTACGTGCACTTTGGCTGCTGCTTGAACTCCACTGCAGCCTTTCAGTCACAAACGGTGTGTAGCTATGTTTCAGGGATGGGTGGTGTTTTTCTAGCCCAAAGATCGAGGGCGTGAGCCCCGGCTCTGTAAACAAACAGGGCAAGAGATTACGTTGTGCGAACCGTTTATCATTTTTTTCATTTAACCAGTATTACCAGTATAAAACTGTGTCTAACGATTTGACTTTTAACCAGTGACAAAGTGGAATTACTGACCACATCAGTCTGTTTTTTATCGTTACTTTTGTTGGTCTGTTTGTGAAATTCACCAAGTTTTTCGGTGTTTTTATGTCCTGCCACCAACAAGGAGTAAAAGTTCAGATTAGAGTAAACTTTTCACAGCAACTCTTTACTTTTTGTTTCATTTTCCCGAGTTTTTGGCTGTAACCAAAGGTGAAAACAGAAAATTGATCTGAATGAAATCGGGCCGCCACAGTGAACTAACTCACATGAAGACTTGGCAGTTGTTTTTACACCGGACGCCCTTCCTGATGCAACCGCAGACCACCGAGCTACCACAGCCTCTGTGTGGAGCAGAGAGCTGCCATGTAGGGCACCCAAGGGAGCAGATAATAATAATAATAATGTCATCACAATGTCAGCACTGTATGTTTCCATACAATGGCGAAATTAGTCTCTGCATTTAACCCATCCACCACCAGGTGGTGCAGTGGGCAGCTATTGAAAGCGCCCGGGGGGCATTTTGGGGATGAGACGTGCTGCCCAGAGACGCCACGTGATGTGCAGTGACTGGGGATCGAACCTGGGACTTTCGGGTCCCAAGCCGGCTGCCCTGCCTCTACACCATCTCGGCCCCTATATGATGGGGGTTAAGGGCCTTGCTCAAGGGCCCAGAGTGGGGCAAATGCAGGTGTAGGCAGGTGTGGGTGCTTCATTTTCCCACCCACATTTTGGTGTTGTCAGTCCTGCGAGTTGAAATGGCAACCTTCCAATCACAGACTCTAACCTCTGCACCACCACGCCCCATCAGAATTTATTTAGAGCAAACCAGTCAACTTTGTTGAAGTCATTGAACTTCTAGAAGCTGAAATTATATGGGATTAACCTCTAAATAAAGGTTGAATATCAAAATATAATAAGTTTGCAGTTAAAATAAAGGATCTCTGCCTCGAAATAGAAGCATTTATAGAAACGGTTGTCTTGAAATCACAGATTAATCTCTGCAGATTACGTTTATGGTTACATACCTTTTAATTTTTTATATTTTTTGTTTGTTTTTTGTCTCTTTACAGCGATCAAAGAGAAGTACAGCGACTGGACAGAGTTCCTCGTTCAGGACTTAACGGGGTCCAGGACAGCACCGGCTAACCTGCTGGAAGGGGTGAGTGGTAATCCACATTAAAGTATCTCACAGTGGGATTGATATCTTTCCTTTTTACTAATAAAAATAATCTGCAAAATCAGTTGCGTGTGCTGTGAAAGGATGCAAAGCATTGATTTTAGTGAAGATTAAATTGTAAAATAATTTGCCCATCAGTTCAGACAGTTAAAGGGTCTGAAACTCTTAGAAATCAAGATGGGGGGGGACGGCAAACATCAAAGGCTGACAGCTTACAAATGTTTTACAGAAGTTTGTATCTCGGTGGGTTTTTTGGGTTTAAAATATATTTTAAATCACTGTGATTTGGTGATTCTCCTTTTTAAGTCACATTTGATCAGTTAACAGTTTTCGAGGTTGCCCTGTGGGACACCTTGACCAGTTTTTCTTTGTTTTTTTGTGTTTTATTTCTATTTTTGGTCCCTTTTTTAAACTGCTCGTGTTGCATTTACATCCCAGTTTGATCATTCCGTATAGTCTCATTTAAATTCTTGGGTTTGTGTGAGCATTTAAACGATTTCTCACTGAACATGTTTGATTGTTTTTGTAGTCTGCGTACCTTTCTAAGATCTGAATGACATACGTATATTTTTTTTATAGGAACAGGCCACTTGGACAAAACAAACAGAACTGAATGATCAAAATTAGTGTCGGATAAACTTTCTTTGAGAAAAAGTAAAAGGTTTTTGGTTTCCACCTTTACCTTTTTGTCATTTTCACCGTTTAGATGAAAAAACTAGGAACACCCTAATGTTGGAAAACACGTGAAATTGACAGAAAGAGGAGCTTTGTCATTTCATTTTCTTTGATTGTGTTTTTTAGAAATACCAGCGATTTTATTTCTGTTTTTGTGCAGCTAACTTTTCCTGCCTGAATTCGTGTTTTTCTTCAAACCAAGATAAAACGCCTTCTGTCAGTTTTTGTCACAATATCTCTCAGGAATGGTTTTTTTTTTTTTTTTTTAGATCTTTGTAGCGTTCCAGAAGATTTCAGAATACCTCAAACCTTTTTCTGTCTCCCATCAGCCTCTGCGAGGTAAAAACACGGTGGATCTGATTGTCGAGGGCTCCGTCTTGGAGCTTCAAGATGTTTCGGACCCCTTCGTTTACTGGCCGGTGCGAGTCATCCAGAACATTGGAGGGAGGCTCTGCCTGCGTTACGTCGGCCTCACTAAGGACCACCAGACTCAGGACATTTGGCTGTTCTACTTGGACATCAGGCTCCGCCCCCTCGGCTGGGCCCTCGAAAACAGTCTGACTTTAGAACCACCAGCAGGTGAGAATCAAATCTGTTGGAGCTAATTTTTTTCACAGTCAGTCAATATGAAAATCTTCTAAACTGTATTTACAGTGTTAGTTTGCTTTTGTTTGTACTTTGATGTTTTAGCTCAGTTTGCATGTTTTTGCCTTAGGTTTTCTCCAGGTACTCTTGATTTCCTCTCACAGTTTAAATTAGGTTAAATAAATCCATTTCAAATTGAGCTGAGTGCAGGAGATGCCCTGTGATGGACTGACCTTCTGTCCAGAGCATCTGAACCTGTGACTTTGAACAGGAACAAGCTGAAGAACTTATTCCTGTCACTGAAACCCAAAGAGAATTCCAATGAATTATTTTGTAGTTTCATCAAATTCCCTCTGGTGGTGTTTTCTTTTGTTTTTTTTAACAATTTTTCCAACATAAAGACATTGAGAAACAAAATCGAACTGTAAAAATCACATTCCCACATCAGGATGAGAGCAAAAATGTTAAAGTTTTTATCAACAATATATTGTCTTTTTGGGAAAAAAGTCTGTACATTTAAAGGGATATTCTGCCTTTTTGTCTTCTTAAAAAGTTCAGAACTCAAATTTTATTGAAATGTGATTTATTTTTTTTAATGCCACATCACCTTAGATTCAAACAATTTATGTGTATTAAATTGTACAGACTGGGTAAAAATAACAATATATCTCTTTAAAAAATATGTTTTTTGATTAAGTACTTGCACTTGGTGTTAAAATTGAAGCATTTAACAAAAAAAACAAGTCATTTTGAGTATTAAAAGAAGAATATTTTTAATTAACTTGTTTTATTAGGGAACTTGATGCCACTGCCTTGTGTTTGCTCAGACCTCAGGTCTCTGAAGAGTGCTGCCGACTGGCAGCAGGCTCTGGAGGACGCTCGAGTCGATGGGCAGAAGAATCCACTGCCGCTCGAGGTTTTTAAGGTGAGTCTTTGTGTTTATGAGACGCTTTATTCATAAGAATTTGGGCTGCTTTCACATTTTTCCTGCGTTCAGATGACCTGCTGTAAAACACACAGCACTTCCATCAACATTTTACAGAGAAAAAAAAAATCAGAATACATTTTGATTAATTTATTTTACCTTTATTTAACCAGGAGAGTCCCATTGAAAATAAAAACCGCAGAATAAAATTAAAACATCAAATTGAGAAACATAAAACATCAGAAGAACAGGTGCAGGTTATGGAGTTGGCTCAGGTTTAAAAGCGCTCAACAATATCAACGCTGTTAGTTTCTGTTCTTTCTGCAGATTATTTCATGTGCAAAGCCTGGCCAAACAAAACAGAAAGCATCAAATAGTGGAGGGAGTAGAACCAGCACCTCTGTTCAGCTGGAGTACAAATATAAGAGGGAAGAAGTCCACATTGTATATTGTATATTATAACCATATTTACAAAGTTATCTACGGTTCGGCCACTATGTTAACTGGCTTACTTATTTTTTATTTGTTTTTCAGTTTTATTTTCATTTTGTTTCACCCATTGGGGGGGGGGGGGGGGGGGGGGGCATTTAATTCCTGCAGAAGCTCCTTGTTTACAGTCAAAACTGGGTAATGTGGCGACCGTAAAACAAATTAAATATGAAAGTTATAGACAAGTGGAGAACCGCCTAATGGTGATAAGGACAGGTGAGAATACAAAAACACAAGCAGACTGGAATAAAGCCACCTTAACAAAGTTTAAAGTACATGGGAGCATTTAATTAAATATTTGGTTGACATTCAGAGTTATCCTTGCACAGTTTAATAAAGTATTTTCCACAAAAACAGAACCTAGTTCAGTTTTTTATGGGGTTTTGAGACGTGAAGCTCAAACAGGAAGTTCAATGTTTACATTTCCCGTCAGTTTGACTTGAAAGAACCAGAGTTTTGAAGCAGCAAAACAGACGACTGCAATTTAAGTTTAAAATTTGTTAAAACAAAACAAATCTCACAGTTCACCCCATCATCAAAAAGAACATTAGTTTTCACCTCAGGTTCATCAGTTTGACACGTGGCCGCCCAGCACGGTTTGTCTGAACTACATGCGTGTGAATCATTAAACGTGGAGCACGTTTGTCTAATAATCTTGACTTTACTGTGTCAGGACCACGTAGACCTGCCCGAGCACTCCTTTAAGACGGGCATGAAGCTGGAGATGGTTTCTCCGTGGGAGCCGCTCCAGATCTGTCCCGTTTCTGTCACCAAGGTGAGTCACGCTGAAAAAGATTATCTACAGTACACATAAAGAGGTTTCAGGCCGCCGCCTCCTCCCTGCAGCGTCCTCCAGTTGCCGTTTACACCGTGGTCAAAGATTTGTACGTTGTTTTCAAGTGCGCTGACCTTGTTCGTGACGCGTTCGGATTCCAGAGAATGGAATTCAGCAGAAAAGTCTCTGGGAAGTTCTTTGGTATTTTATCTCTCGTTTGTCCCTTTACAGCTCCCACAAGCCAGTTCAAACATCAGGGTTTTGTCGTTTTTTAAATAATTTATCGAATACATTCAGTACCTCCGTGAAGAACAAAGCTTCGCATCTTACACTGTATTTTAAACCTCTTGGGTTAAACGTTTTCTACTTGAACAAGAGCTCTTCAGCTTCTTCTGTCTATACATGAATATATATATTTGTTTTTATCACTGAAAGTCATTCTTCAAAATACTTTTTGTGGCTATTTTTAATCGTCGCTTCCCCTTTGCCCTTTTTCATAACTTCCGAGTAAAACATAATCCTGTGTGAAGCTAAACTGTCAGATTAGCCTGAAGCTCAGTGAATGTCTGGTGTTTTCCACAGTCTTTGTATCCTTAGCGACACGTCTGCAGTTTTATGCAACAAGATGTTCAGTGATGCTGCGTAGCTTTTTAAGTTTATATTTTGCATCAGCAGCATATTTGATACTTTTAGCAGAAACAAAATCTTTTTTTTATACAGTGAAGTCCTCATGAGAAATAAAGCGTGTGTATTTTTTTGAGGAACCGTTTAAATTAATTAGCTTTAGTCATAAATCTGTAGTTTTAAATTAAGCTGACCCAAACATACCGATTAATGACGCGTTAAACACAACATCCTGTTTGACTTTAAATCGATTATCTAGTTGATTGTTAAATTTCAAAAGTCAAAGTTATTAGTTTTATCTAGTAGATATGCAGTTATATATTTAAATTATATAATTTTTAATGAACGTATTGTGCACAATAATTTGTATAACATTGATATTTGTATGTATTACACTTCTGTTAAGAATATTATTTACGATTATTTTGGTGGCAATGAATATTTAGTGTTTAACAATTTGTAAGTTATTAATAAGATAAAGATGAAAAACACAAAAATAATGGTTCACATGTTTCATTATTATTTTTAATCATACTAAACAGTTTTTTTTTTTTTAACCTTGAGTATTAAAATAATCTTGAACTTGGTTCCACTTCAGGTCCACAGTGGGAGCTACTTCCAGGTGACGCTGGACGACCTCTCTGCTGAAGCCAAGCCTCGGTCCGTGGTGTGTCACGCCAACACGCCTGGCATCCTGCCGGTCCAGTGGTGTCTCAAGAACACGGTGGTTCTGGAGAGGCCTCGGGGCTACGATGGTCTGGACTTTGACTGGGCGGACTACCTGAAGCAGAGCGGGGCTGAAGCGGCTCCCGACACCTGCTTTCCTCATGTAAGAAGCTCATGTGAAGTCGAGCGTTTGTTCTGGTGTATTCATTGCGTGTTTTTTTTGTTTTCAAGTTATTTTTATTATTTGTATTTCCTCCAAATGGATCATCTATAGCAGTAGTCGTCATCTCTGGATCTTATGATGTCTGCAGGAGTCTCTTAAACGTGCTCTAAAAATAGATAAAATACATTCTTATTAAACATCAAATTAAAATCATTGAGATTGTAATACACACCTGTGCAACTAGATAAGACAATGATCATACGTCTCTGTGCAGTAGTTTTCTTATATCCAGTGCACAGTTTGTTGTAAGTAAAATGATTAAAGTCTACAAAATATTGGTGAACTTTCAGATTATCAGCAAATCTGAAGGTTCACGTATTAACTATGTCACATATTTTAAATGAAAAGCAACATCAACAAAAGTACAACATAAACAACTATGTGGTTGTTTTATGTTAGAAGGGTTTTATGCTGATGATGCGCTGCCCGTCATAAATTAAAGACGAACCATTTCCTGGATTAACGTACGGAGGCCAACAGGAGGACGGTGCAGTTTGTTGTAATCTGAGCTTTCATCTCAGGTTAGAGTAAAACAAACCCTCTCTTTAATGTGTGTGTGTGCAGACATGGCAGAACAGAAACTTTGCCAAAGACATGTGGCTGGAGGCGGTGAACCCTCGGCGGCCGGCGGAGGTGTGCGTGGCTCAGATTACGCAGGTTAGAGGACGTCTGCTGTGGCTCCGACTGGAAGGTACACACGTTTATTTGTGTTTGTGTGCGAGGATAAAATATGAGTGGACTCATGTTCAACTGACAGTTCCCTCCCCTTTCCCTCTGCTGTCTACCTGTCTCCAGGTGTGGCGAAGCACCTGTCCGAGTGCATCGTGGACGTGGAGTCCATGGACATCTTTCCTGTTGGCTGGTGTGAGGCCAACGCTTACCGTTTAACCTCGCCGCTCAAACCTGTCTGTATGTACACAAAAAACACAACAAGTGCACAAACTGTCCTAGATTTTATTGTCCCAGTGGTAGGGTGGTCGTCCTCCGATCAGAGGGTCGGGCGTTCGATCCCCAGCCCCTGCAGCAAAGGCGAGACGCTGCCCACCAATAAGCTGAAGGATCAGTGAGAATATAAAATGTGCTGCATATAATGTGTAAGAATATGAAATTGCTGCGTGAATACTTGAGTACGAGTGGATAAATGAGAAACCTGAGGTTTAAAAGGTGATATTTAAGTTGTGGATAATTTAACATTTATTTAAAAAATATATATATATATTTTTTTTGTCTGCAGGCCAGAAGCAGAAGAAGATAGCCGTTGTCCAGCCAGAAAAACAGTAAGAAACACAAACTAATCCTTCAGTTTTAATGAAAAGCTCATGTGATAATGAACAGAAGTCCAACATCCTTTTTTTAAATAGCCAGTATTTCATTAATTATAAAGTTGAAAACAACAGCTGGAGTTCAAATTATTGTAATAATGTGTCAAATATGTCTCACAGCCAACTCATGTTTTCCTGATTCTTGGTAGTTTAGCAATAAAACCTGTTATTATGAGATGGTTTGTTGGATAACAGGTTATTTTATTTTATCATTTAAAACTAAAACGTACTATCGCCTAGTTTAGAGACTGGTCTGAAACTAGAATGAACAAAAACACCAAATATTTATTTTAAAGAACCTCCAGAAAACTCGAGAAGTTTGCCACCCTGGAAGATTATAAGAAAGTTGGGCCCATTTGAACCCCTACAGAGAATCAAAAGTTATGGTTTCAAAGTTTATATCAGGTTTTTCTCTTTATTTAAGGCTGGAAAAAAGTCATTTAAGATGAGTGTTTTTATAGATTAATGTCTAAAAAAAATGCTTAAACCTTTTTGCTTCTTGACTATGATCTGAAGATAGACTTCTTTCCACATCTTCAAATATAGTCACACAGCTGCTGCTAAAGATAAAGGAACCAACTCATAAATAGTTTAATTGACTGGCAAAAATATATTTAGCAAATCACTAAAACTTGTGAATATTTTGTCAAGTTCCTGCTTTTATAACTCAAGAAATTGATTTGTAATAATACATTATTGTAGAGGTCCCATAATAAAATACATATCAAGACATTTTAACAGATCTTTGTTTTTATTAAAAAAAATACTTTGCATCATCTTTTTGAGCCGAAAAATGATATTTATTGTGTAATCAAAACTTGAAACTTCTGATGGAAATCCTAAGATGTAATTACAACAAGCATGTGTCAAACACCAACATTTCTTTATAGTAATTAGAAAAAAATCAAAGCATAATATTGATCAGCAAAGAGCTTGATGCTGAGCTCAAAGACGGGGTCACGAGTCTGTCTGTATTTCATAACGTTTAATAATCAAACTAATTTAATAGCCTAACGAGAAAATAGGCTGCGGATGAACTGATCAGAAAATTAACTAGAGAAATTGCATTTCCTGTGAAAATGCAGTGTGAATGCTTATTGCAGAAGAACTTGCTGAAAAACAGCTGAAATTAGCTAAAAACATGCTGAAATTTAGCTGAAGTGAAAGAACAAGCCTAAATTAGCAGAAGAAACAGAAAGAACACATATTTGCTGAATTAGGTTTAAATTAGCTGAAATGAGCACAAAAATTAGGTAAATTAGCTAAAAAAAAAAGCTGAAACCGGCAAAAAAAATAGCTGAAAGTAGCTGAAAAGGCAGAAAGAAGCCAGAAGGAAGTTGAAAGAGCTGAAATGAGCAAAGAAAAAGTGGAATTAGCTAAAAAAGCTAAAATTTGCATAAAACAATGAAATAGTAGCAGAAATAACAGAAAAAGCTGAAAATAACTGAAAAAGCTGAAAGGAGCATAACTAGTTGAAATTAGCAGAAGGAAGTTAATTAGGCTGGAAGTAGCAGAAATTACCAAGAATAACTTGAATTTATCTGAAACAGCTGAAATTAGCTAAAGATTTTCTTAAAAGGTAGCTGAAAATGTAGACCTAGCTTAAATTAGCAGAAGAAAGCAGAAAGAACTGTTGTTTGCCCAATTCGGCTGAAAGAAGCAGAAATTAGCACAAAAAGTAGAAATTATCTGAAAAATGCAGAAATTAGTAAAAAAAAAAAAAAAAAGGTTCAAAAGTAGCTAAAAAAATAAAATAAGATGAAATTCAAGAAGGAAGTGGAGAGAGCACATTTTTGCTAAATTAGACTGAAAAAAAGTTTAAATGAGAGCCAAAATGTGGAATTAGCTGGAAAATCCTAAATTAGCATAAACACAGCTATATAGTAGCTAAAGTAGTAGAACAAGCTGATACTTGGAGAAATAAGCTGAAAGAAATTAGCAGAAAGAAGAAGCACAAAAATGTTGTAGTTCTCTGAACGTAGAATCTGAATGGAGCACAAAACAGCTAAAATTAGCTGAAAATAGCTGGAAGAAAATTTAAATTTGCACAAAGCAGCAGAACAAAATGTGAAATTAGCAGTAAAATGTTGTAAACAGAGCTAAAGATGTGCAGGATGTAAAATGAGCTCAATTAATTTTCTTTGAGAAACAAATGGCAGAAAAGGCTAAATATTTCAAAGAGCTAAAGTTGCACCAATACCAAAAGTCCTAGCAGGACTGTCCTGAAAGAGCTGAACGTTTTCATGTATGATTTGCTGAAATAGCTTGAAAACTGCGGGACGAGAATCACACTGAAATCGTAACAGAAGACAAATGGATCACAATACAGTGGATGCTTCATAAACATTCATGTTATTACCAGGATTATTAAAGGGAAACCAAACTGTTGCTTAAGCACCAGGAGAGTTTGTCAGTAATTGTCTAATTAAACTATTTTAAGAGGAAATTCATTCATAATGCTGCGTGCATGGTTTCTCCTTTCATTTAACACATTTAACACATGTTTCCCTCAGTGAAAGTTTTAAGTGAGAAGAGTTAAATAGACATCGACACTAAAAATGTTTCCCCAGATGTGTTGTGTAACTGGCCTAACCACAGCTGGAAGCTTTCATTTCTGTCTGTCCTGGAATGTAGTTGCATTCCCGCCTTCCTTTGTTTTCTGCCCTTTTACCTGTGAGCCAAAAATTCACCCTCAAGGCTTTTCTCCTCCCCCCCTCCCTCCCTCCCCCCTTCCCGCTCTGTCACTCAGAGCTATTAATTGAAACTGTGGCTTTTTAAAGTAGAAACTGCTTTCCCGAGGCGCTGATTGATTTTGTTGACAAATGACACGTTGTGCCGTTCGCTGGCGAGCGCTGCCTCAGGAGCATGAGGTGTGTGTGTGGGGGGGGGGGATGTCGGTCAGGGAGCGGGAGAAATATGAGGTCTTCAGCAGCACTTTGTCAGCTTTTTCATCTAACCACTAATTTCTTTCTAACCCACCTGCGTCTAAATCTGACTGAAGCTGCGGCAGCTGCCGAGCGGAGCAATCGACTGCCTGAGCCAACGTTTGGTTTCTCTATTGTTTCCTGTTTGATTAGATCACCTGGATAATTTTATTGATTATTCTGACGGGACTGATGGCGTTTTTCCTGTAGGTTGGCTCCGTCCCAGCCGCCAGAGACGACTCCTGTGAACCACTGCCAGCCGGTCGTCATGGATCCAGGTAATCAGAAGCCCCGTAATTAATGTTAATGAGCTGCTGCACAAGGAAAACCCCACTCTTCAAAATACTCCTTCACTCACAGAGACCATGAGTTTGTGATGATCAGTGTTCGAACGTCCTCAATCGGTACATAAACCCTGACATAAACTCAATCGAGGAAGCCACAAAGCATTAGACCCTTAATGATTGTCTGGAAATACCCTGAATAAATTAACATTTATTCATTGTTTATTTGATCTTTCTGTTTCCTAAACTCCTACTTTTGTAAGTATTACGTGCTGACAGGCTTTAGGCAAAGCCTTCTGTCAAACTTGCTAAACTAGAAAGTGCTGGCAGTTAAATACTTCATGTAGCTTTTTGATAACAAGCGTACAAAGGGTAGGACTTTCTTTGGTTAATCAGTTCCATTCATTCATCCCGATAGCTAGCTTGCTATCTTGCTAGCTGCAGGAAAAATCCTCCAAAAGGTCCTCTTCTCACTGGATGATGAACCTGCTTTAATGTAAAAAAACTCAATTTTCAGGCACATTATAGAAACGTAGGGGGGGTCCCGACATGTGATGGAGCGAGTTGAGCATGCCCTTCTGTAAGGTACTTATATGGGTCAGTACCTGTGCTGCTGTCACGGGTAGTAGTAGGCAGTTTAGCCGTGACTCACAAGGTTTGTTCTGGTGTAATATAGTAATGCGTAGCAATGGTGTGATAAGTGATAAAATGCTTCACAATATTCTCCGTTCAGTCAGTGAATTTTAATTTTATGTGCTGTCAGACTGGCAAATATTCTGTCATGTTTAGGTTTATTTCCCTGCAAGAAGCCACCCGCTTTTAATGTTATCAGCCATTAAATGACCGTTATTAGTTTTTATCATCCCCATATGCAACGGTCACACTGCCCCTCCTGTACCTCCTAGTGGGTTTAAAGGTATGTTTTTAGCGATGATAATAGGCTCTGTTTTTAGCTTTGTTACCGCTCATAATAGCTTCACAGGGTTAGGTTTAGAGTAAAGGGTCTTGGTTAGGTTTAGGCACAAGGGTAAGGGGGTTCAGTTTAGGGTTGGTCCTCTGGTGTAAGCTTACATTTAGGAAAAGGGTTGCATAAGCTGAAAACAACTAAAAAGACACTTCCTGGTTTACCCCCGTGCAACACTGCCTATTATCAGCAATAATAACGTACCTTTAAACCTACTAGGATGTAGGTGGGACAGTCTCACTGCTACATAACAACTAATAACGGCCATTTAATGGGCTGATAACATCCGAAGCTGCTCAAGATTATAGGTCAGTAGTATCAGGTCTCTCTTGTAAATGAGTCCCTGAGGCTCGATAGGATTAACCTGTCTAAATAAAGGTTGAATGAATATAGAGGGAGAACATAAATTTAAATATTACTCAAGTCATTCCACACTGTTCATCATAATCATAAGGTGCATTCTTTGTGTTGTTCAGTTTTATTCTCATGGTGACTGATAAAGGCATTTTAGTTTAATCTTCCAAATGTGTGTAAAAGTGGTTAAAATACCAGAGCTGAGCTGTTCTCTTGTTTCTGATGCATGCTCAATAATCCAGGTAGAAACATCTCAAAAAGTTCAGTCTGGTCCTCTGGACATTATGCCCAGAGGACCAGATTGAACTTTTTGAGATGTTCTCTTGTTTGTTTTCCTCTTGTTCCCTTATGCTGATTCTACTGAGTTCTTATCTAAAGGTAAAACATAAAGGGAAAAAAATTAAAAAAAACTCAAGTATGGCGAGCATAAACAGGTTAAAGTGGTTCACTGAAGTTAAAACGTTTGAGAGAAGGTTAGTTGAACTTCAGCAGCTAAACTTAACCTTGACAGGTGAGCAGACAAAGATTAGATTCCTCCTTGGCCTCGTAAGCACCGTTTTTAGCTTCGGTCTGCAAACGACATGCGTGTTCCACAAAAAGAGTGGAGCGAGGTGGTGGGGGGGCGTGGGGGGCGTGCTGTGTGTTGTTTCCAGGAGACCCTTGTCCTCTTTTCCACACTCCTCGTCACCCACTCGTTCATGCATATTCATCTCTTTACCTAATTACAATTCATCCCTGGCAGTGAAGTTCCAGGTGCTGATGTTAGTCAGAAGGCAGCGGCACTCAGTCAGCTTTGTTTGTTTTTTTGTTTTGTTTTTTTTGTTGTGGGGGGTGGAGTTATATCCCAGTAGTGCGTGAGAAAAGTTGTTAGTAGTTCTGACACTGATGGGCTCTAAATAATCTGCTGAAACTAGAGCAGTGGTCTCAGTGGTTTGTTCTGAACTCATCTTCCTGAATTCGAGGTGGAAAAGAGTCGCAGGTAACATTAATTACTGGGTTATTTCTAAAAAGTGCTAACGCTGCCAGGAAAACTGATTGAACCACAGCTGGGCGCTCCTGATGAGATATAGATATATATATATATATTTTTTTTTTAAATAAACACTTTTGGAAGACGTTCTTGTTTGTTTTATTTTATTGTTTTTAGAGGAAATGAAACAAAGGGCAAAAGTGGCACGTATTTTAAATAAATGTTTTACATTCTAGCTTCGTAAAATGTATCTGAAAAAGAAAATGAAACAACCTGAATATTATCATTTTTTTACGTTTTAGAGGGAAAAAAATATTGAATTATTCTGCGGCGTGAGAAAATCATCTATTATCTGCACACGCATAAAAATGCAAAAAATAAAAAGTCGACTTCCAAGTTCTCCGTGTTCTTTTTTTAAAAAGCTGTAGTCTGGTTGATAGGACCCACCCCTCGTCTCCCAACACGAGAGTTCAGATAAAAAGGATCAAAAAGCTCCTTCAAGGTCATTAAATATGTTTATTTTAAACTCTTTTCAGGACTGCATGTATGAACTTTGTCCTTTGCAATAAAACAAATCAACAATGTTTATTAAGGACAAAACGAATGAACTGCAGGAAAAAAAGCTAAAAAGAGGACGAGTTGGCACTTATTCATGGCAACAAAGGTTGTTTTCTTAAAACAAATTAGCTTAATTTAAAATTAAAATCAAAGCGATGTCAGTGAGGAATCAAAAGCACAAACAATTCAGCTTCAATCAAGAGTTTTAAAACTTTTTAAGAGCATGATAAAGATGTGCTCTAAGAGTTCCTGATCTTAATGAGCGGACTATAAATCATCTTTAAAGGCTTGTTGTGTGGTTGCTGCATGAGAGCCGTTGGTTTAATCCCTAAAACTGTTGGTGTGAAATGGTAACTAAAATAAAAAAAAACGCTTGAAAATAGTAAACGTACTACAAATAAATTCAAGAAACGAGAAGTCGATTAACATATATGTTCAAAACAACGTGTAAAACACTGAAACTTCCATTTAGTTTAAGTTTGATGAAATGTAAAGACGGCTGAAGAACGTGTCCACACCTGATTTGTCTGTCCGGTGATGGACCAGGGGAGACGGCAGTCATCACCTCCATAGTAAAACAGCGACTCAGGACTCGTTTTGTGTAAATAAACCAGGTCTCAAAGCATAAACGCAAATATTTGCATTAATATTTTAAATCTTGTCTCCACCGTCTGAGTGAGTGACTACATCTCTTGGTACTGTGGAGGGGTGATCTTTATGTATTTGTGTTTTAAAATGTGAACACGTCTCCTAATGCTAGATTATGTTTATGTGCTGGGCTGATTTAATAATTTATGGAAACAAAAGTATTGTGCTGTTGTGTATAAAATCTAATGTTCGTTCGTTTAGATTCTGCTGAAGTTAGTGCAAACATTTATTAAAGATCTTGTCCGTCAGTTCCGATTATACCTCTGTGAGGCAAACAGCTGTTTGTGTACGAGGCCGTTAACACGTGGAAATCCCTTCCTGCAGGTTTAAAACTAGCTGTTGTTTTTTTAAATATAATTTTTAGGGATGCACGATATTATCTGCATGGTATCGGTATCGACCGATATTAGCAATAAAGTTAAATATCAGACATCGGCCATTCCATTAAAATAACTCACCAATATAAAAACCTCACCAGAAGTTCATCCATCCAAACACCATACAGAATAATGCAGTATTTTAATTCCACAGCAGAGAAAGCTCTGTAGTCTCTGTAGGTCTAGGAAAAAAATTGGTATTTGTATCAGTTACCGGCCAAATAAGTTTTAACATATTGTTATATCGGATATCAGTCAAAAATTCAATATCGTGCATCCCTAATAATTTTAGATTAAAGATAACCAGTTTTATAATCACAAACAGCCACCTCCCTTTTGTTTTTGTCATTTAGATTTGTTTTAACTTGGTCTTTATGCTGTATTCATTCAGTTTTATCTGCTTTAAACATTTTATACTTTTAATGTCGCTGAAGGACCATCTGGAGTTGAGCATTTCAAATCAGATTATAAACGTCACAGTGTAGCGGATGGTATTTGTGAACTGTTGAGATTAATTAAGGGTTCGATTGATGATTTATTTATTTAAGGAAACCAGCTGAGAGTTGTGCCGAACATTTAGTCTTCTGTTGTCGTTTTGTAACAATTCTTTCGTTGTTGTACGTTTTTTTTTTCTTCCAGGCTCAGCTAACGGACGATACTGCTGCTCCAAGATTTTTGTCAACCACCGCTGCTTCACAGGCCCCTACCTCAACAAGGGACGGATCGCAGAGCTGCCGCAGGCTGTTGGACCCGGCAAATGCACGCTGGTCCTCAAAGAGGTGGGCTGGGAGTGGGGTCGAGGCGGCAGCGGGGGGGGGGGGGGGGGGGGAACACACAGGGGAGCAGGTTTAATCAAAGAGTCGTACACGTTCCACAGAGCTGGGAAGAGGGAGGAGGTGCACGGTGGAGGGCGAGACAGAGATGTCTTGTTAACCACCTGCAGTGCCTTCATTTTAATGTGAGCAGCTGTCAGTCAAATGTGTTTACATGTATACACCTCCACTGCTGCTCAGCAAAACAGATGCTTAATTTCTCCAGAGACCGTTCCCGTACACACACACACACACACACACACACACTTTGTGTTGCAGTTTTGTCTCTGCCTTTTGTTATGTTTGGGCTCCTCCTCCATCTTTGACTTTTCTGTCGTAAAATCAGGAGCCTTGATTATTAATGTTTTTATTGTTTCTGTCCTGTTGCTGCTTCCAGATGTTGAGCATGCTGATCAATGCTGCCTACAAGCCTGGGCGAGTCCTAAAGGAGCTGCAGGAGCTGGAGGATCCGAGCTGGGACTGCCAAGAGGAGACCCTCAAAGCCAAGTTAGTGGACGTGCACCACACCGGAGCGTGTTTTCATCCAGTGTCACATGCTCCACTCCTGTTCCGGATCATTTTTAATGTTAAAAATCACAGGCTGCCACAGGATTTCACACTTAAATGGTAATAAATCATCCAGCAGCACATCTTTCCCAGCAGCAGTGCCTCAAGAGTCCATCTCACTGCAGTTTTCCTCGTTTTTATACGTTGCTGCAGTGGTTTGTGTAAAGTCTGCGTTTTTATTCACTGCCGGCTGCACGCAGCCGAATGATCCCGCAGCTCCGAGCTGCACGCTGAATGTTTTCCCATCAGAAACTGGCCTCTTTTTTTTTTTTTCTGTCTGAATGGCAGTCAGAAGTGAGTCACCTGCAGCAGCCTGCAGAGCACACTGATCACATTCATGCAGGGATGTTTTGACAACGACCCAGAGGAGTTGCTTTTAATTTTCTGGGGCATCTACTGCCCAGAGAGTCGATTTACTTCTGACTGTGACAAGTTAAAGGCTGAACAACGTGCGTCAACCCAGCAAATAAAAAAAAAAACAACAGACAAACACAAATCCCTTTTATTCAGTAAAACAAGTTAACACAAAATATTTATTTATTTATCGTTCTGCAGGAAAACACCTGAACATGTCAGTATAAAACTTGTACTGATTTGTCCTAATTACCTTTTAGAAAATTCATTTTTAAAATAACTAAGCAGTAATAAAGTGTTTTAATGTTTAAAGTGTCATTAATCAAAGTTTCTTTTATTTGTCATATGCATCACATGTGGTGCATATGGTGGAACAAAACTGTGCACACAGAGTCCCAGTTACATCCAACAAAGTATAAAATGTAAACAAAACACAGTAATAAGATTTAAGGTATGAACTAAGAATACATTAAACACTAATAGTACAAAAACCATACGCCGAACAGCAGCACGAACATGAGTCTGTGTGAGAAGATGAGCATGAATGAATGACAAACAGGAGATAACTGCAGCTTAATTTCACCTACTTTTCTCTTTGTTGCCTGTTTATCTACTTTTGGTTGGGTTTGTTTCATATGCGGGACATTAAGGGCTTTTATTTTTTAATTTCCTTTCCAAAACGAATCCTGATTTTATTTTTTTTATATATTTTTTTATTCATTCATTTAAAAGAAACAAAATAAACAAAACAAATTCATCAAAAAGAAAAAACATTGAACGAAAAGGGTGCAGAAAGAAGAAAAAAATCTTATAATAATAATTAATCCTGATTTGGGTTCAAATTTTATGTTTTGAACTTGAGTTTTGGGAGATTTACTGACGCTTATTGTGAGTTTTATTGTTTTACACTCTTTAACATAATTAATCTTTTCACATTTCAAGCAAAAAGAATTATTCCTGCAGTCAATTTCCCAACGATAGCTCAACAAATTTACTGTAAAATTGCATTTGAACTAAAGGTTTATTTTGCTGGAATAACATAAAAAATGTAAAAACAGCAACAACAATAATAAAAAAAAAAAAACCAGCATATTTAATTAAATTTAAATAAAAATGTCATTATTAAACAAACTAAAAAAGAGTAACTTCTTTCATCAGCAATCCACAACAAAACCAAACAATATTGTTTTCTGTTACCAGGTGGTTTTTGGGTCATGATTCGTCTTTTTGACTTGAAAAGATTTCTGATTGGGTTCAGGTCGGGACTCTAAAACGACCCGTTATTTTTTGACTGCTCAGTCCTCGTCACCAAGGCCGAGAGTTTCTGCTGACTGCTTCATCTTGTCCTACATTATCTCACTGTAGTCCCCTTTTCAAGGATTCTTTGAGATCCAAGGATCAGCACCAAGGATTCACTGATAAATCTTCTATTCTGGTACCAAAGAGCACGTCAGCAGACAGCTCGTCTTCATCAGTACCAGCCAGGAGGGCGCGCTTTACCAAGAAAGACATGTAAAACAAGGAAAGCTGACATTTTGTGAAAGACATGACAAAGTATTAAACTCTAAAACCCAAAAGTGTCATGCTATCTGCAAAAATGTTATCCTTAGATAGAATCAGATCTGCCACTAAGATATTCTCTCAATAAAACCTTTTATTAAAAATTAAAAAAACGATCCTTGAAACCAGAAAAACGACTGCTGAAGAAATTTGAATATTAAGTCAAAATTTGGCTAAAACATATATAATTTAAGGTTAAATAATTGTGTTACATTACATAAAACAATACTTATGTTTCTCATCATAAAAGCAGATGCAGTAGTCCCTCGCTACTTCACTCTTCGTTTTTCACGGACTCGCTCTATCGCGGTTTTTCAAAATAAGATTGGACATGACACAATTGGCTGATTGATGGATGAGCCACACGATCGGCATCAAATTTTTATTTAAAATAAATTATTTAGCACCTGCTGCACCTGTGTGCAGCCCACAAGCGGAAGGAGACGCTCCCTCCTGCAGCGTGTCATGATCTCCGCTCTGCAGCGGAGAAGTGGGCGTGGCCAAGAGTGCTGAGGAGGCAGAGAGCTGAGTTCTTGACACGCTGTGCTCTTTTAGAGCATTTAGAAACATTGTTTAGAATATTGCAAGAGTGTGGAAAGGGTTTAAAACGCCTTAAAATTAATTTTTAAACACATATATATAAATACTAAAATAAACTACTTGTATTATTATTCCAGCGGGGCTTCAGGGTACAGGTGCCCCACAATAAACAAGGGACTACAGTAATTTTTTTAAGCAAAAATAGCATACTGTTCTTTTTTTACCATGATAATAAACCAGAATGCTGAAAATATATATTTTGTGTCACGTATAAATAAAAGAAAGTAAATTTAGATGTTTTTGTGGTTGTTGCTACACAAAAAACTATTGTGCGTTTTTGTTCCTTTTTTATTTAACTTTTTGTTTTTTAAATAAAAGTCTGTTTTCTCTATCAGGAAGGTCTAAGAGCTGATAAAAAGAAACACGAGTTTAAAAAATGGGCAAAAGCTTCAGCTGCAGTTGTAGTTTGTGTATTTTTACATCTCTTAAAAATCATGTCATTTTTGTTTAAACGTCCGTAAAAAGACGAGGTTTTTGAGGATTGTTTGACTTCTGCTAAAATGACCGCCCTTTCACTCGGTCTTTGTGCGTCAATGGATGAAAAACAGTCCAATCGCTTAGTTTTGTCATTCGTAAAATCTGGTCCTTTCCTCCAGATACAAAGGGAAAACCTATCGCTCCACCATCAAGATTGTTCGTCTCGCAGAGCAGATCCCAGATTTCTGCAGAAAGGTGTGTGTGAAGCTGCAGTGCTGCCCGAACCTCTTCAGCCCCGTCCTCGTCACTGACAAGTGTCCCGAGAACTGCTCCGTCCAGACGAAAACCAAACACAGTGAGTTACCGTAATTACCCGACGCCACAGCTATGAAGAGGACTCAGAGCTGCAGCACCGTGTGTAATTTCCTTTGAGTGGCTGACGTTGGGTTCCTCACTGCATTGTTTCTAACGCTGGCCGTGCGTCCGCAGCTTATTACTATGGGAAGAAGAGGAAGCTGTCCAAACCGACGGGCGGGGAGGAGGCGGTGGAGGGAGACCTGGCCAAGCGGACGCGCCGCCGGAAGAAGAGGAAGGCCATCTTTGTGCAGAAGAAAAGACGCTCGTCAGCTGTTGACTACGCTCCTGCAGGCTCTCCGCAGGTTAGATGCCACGTGTCTGATAACAGGTGTCCTGCTGCTCGGCGTAACATAACGAGTCAAACCTGAGTGCGTGAAAAAACTCATCCTACCAAAAAAAAATAAAAATCACAAAGATGGAAAAGCTTCACGTAAAAGAGCTTTATCTCCTTCTTAGATAGTTTCATGCAGAATACGTAGATAAATGCTGCACACCAGATGGATTCCCCTAAAAATAGCTTCACATCTTGCTGACTGGCTGCAGTGTTTACTGCACACACTCGCTTTGTTCCTTTACTCTTGCAAATGTTTCTTTATAATCCCTTTTTATCAGAGGAAAGATTTATTCTTTTTCCACGTGGCCGCTGCACCGTTGTTTTATCAGACTCAGGCAACCGAGATCAGCTTAAGTATTTCAGGTAATTTGAATCATCATATTAATGTATTTATGCTGAATTAATTACAGTTTGATATATTAACTAATCCCAAATAGAATCTGAATCACCACAGCCAGATTTAGTAAATTACCATCCATGATGAAACTAGTCTGGCAGTGCTGCTGGAGACAACTCTCCGCGTGTATTACTCCAGTTTTTAGATCAAACTCTGGGAATTTCACTGATTTTTCTGTTCGCTAAGATCTACTAGCTGTGGCGGCCATCTTGTATTACGTTAGCCCTAAAAGTTATTCAGTTGCAGATCAAATGATCACTTTCGGATTGTTTCATTTAAATCCATTCAGTGGTCCCTGAGATATTTTGCTGACAAACACATGCGTATAAACAATTACATGATCACCCGCAATAAAAAGTCAGTTTATTGGGAACAAATGAACTCATAAAATGTTTTAATTCTGCCACTGACACCTTCAAAACACGGTTAAAAACCAGAATTATAAACATCTCATTTTCCAGATTGTTGGGACTCAAAAGTAAATATCTGTATTTTTTGTTGGGGAGGGGTGGGCTGTGTTAAATATTTTATCTGTTCAGTATTTCCTTTCTCTTTCAGGAAGTTCTAAAAGACACAAAAACAGCCATAAAATGTTCAAAATGTTTATTTATTTGCTTTCTAACGAACTTTTTTTTTGTTCTTGTTGAAGCAAAAATTAACCTGAGACCACATTTTTTTTGTTAAATACTAGAGTTTAAAAAATGTCTGCTTTAAACTGAAACAAAACGCTAAAGAAATCATGCAAGTGGTGGCTCTACAGGTGAGTAAAATAAATCAGTGACACTTGGTCTTTGTATTTTAGCTTTTTAAAAGTTTTCTTTTCAATAATTAAATCATTCATGTGAGCAGCATGAGTGCAATAAATATATCTATAAAATGTCTTTTTTGTGGTTATTTTTTTAAACAATTATTTTCTGCCACACAAACTTCAAGTTAAAACTCGATAAGCCCCGTCCATGTTGTTGTAAACTGATCTAAGCAAGTTTTTACTTAAAGAAACACACTGAATTTAATTATCAGCTGTCAGAAATTCTCTTTTTTTATTTAAAAACGACAACAAACCCTGACACTACTGCATTACCGTACTTGCCGCCGTACATGTCGCACCATCATATAAGTCCAAAAATGTTTAATAAAGTTGGAAAAAACATAAATATGTCGCTTCGCCGTATAAGTCACATCTATTATGTGTCACCGCTGACCACCACGTGGGCCGGTGTTGTGCCAAAAATTGATTGGCTGCCAAATGGTGGTGACGGGAGCGTGCACGGGAAGACTTTAACATGAATTTTACAAGATTAACTCTTAAAAACAATTATTTGTTTGCTCAAAATTATAGTAAAGGTGTGTCTCAGTTGAACTTTTCCTTAATAAATTAACTTTAATGGTCAAATCAGCTGCATTTCTCCTGAGCGGTGCAGTGAAATGCAGCTGATTTGACATTTGCTCCAGGAGTTCCAGAGCGAGATGAAGGTGGCTTAGTATGGCAAGCCAAGTGTCTCTTTAATAGCCACTTTTACCTATTAATGAGACACTTGGCTTGCCATATCACTTGAGGGCCCTCTAGTGGCTGAAAATGGTAGTGTTCAACATTTTCCAGGTTAGAATGAATGAAATCATCAAATCTCTGCCAAAAATTGGGTTATAAATATGGAAAAAACATAAATATGTTGCTTTGCTGTATAAGTCGCAGGGCATGCTAACTTTTGCAAAAAGGTGCAACTTATACAGTGACAAATACGGTACATTTATTTAGTATCACATCCTTTTTTCCTGCCTTAATTAGATTTTTTTTTTTACTTCCCCTGGTGTGTGGGAAACATCGTTGTGCATTTGTGCTGTTAAAATATAACAGACCTAATATTTAATTATTCAGTTAATGTATCAATTTACTGTTTTGTTCAGTAATCAGATTCATACCCTAAATATTACAGATGCAAGGAAAAAATCTGACATTGAATTATTCAATTGTGTGTATCGTGACAAAAAAATGTTAAATTGTGTCATCTGGACCAGTTTCTTTAAGTCCCCCATCCAGAGGACTTCCTCAGTCTACGGCCTGCCAACCAGATCTGTCCCAGAGGTAGCCTCCAGTGCTGTTTCAAGCCAACCTTCTGTTGGAACCTCAGAAGTAGACTTTAAACACGTGCAAAACAATCGGTCATCGTGTACAACAATCAAATGTTTTTAGGCCAGGTGGCCAACTTGCTACTCACAGAAACAGCACATCACAACAGAAAAAGAGAAAGGTCGGCAGGCTGTAGACTGAGGAAGTCCTCTGGATGGGGGACGAAACGTTTCTCGTTAAAATAAACTGGTCTAGTTTAAAATTTAACCTTTTTTGTTGTTATCTACCTGGATGATTGAGCTTGCAACCTTTTGTGTGTGTGTGTGCGTGTGCGTGCGCGCGTGTGTGTGTGCGTGTGCGCGTGTGTGTGTGTGTGTGTGTGTGTGTTATGGTTTACTGTAAATCAAGTAAAATTACTGTAGAATCCAACAGCAGCTGCTTTAGACTCTTTAGATGCTTTAATTTTATGTCAGAGTCATTCGACTTAAACTATTAAGTTACATTAACTTACTTTTAGATAAAATATATTTTACCCTCAGACTTGTGTATAAACGTTTATCCTGTAAGATCAAAGGAAATGGATTGCTAATGGGATCAATTTAATTCAAAATCTGATTTTAAAGACTGGATCAGAGTTAGAGCCTGAGGTCTTTGAAGACTGAAGCATCCGTCTTTTTTTCAGGACAGCTATGAGGGAGAGGACGATGAAGACGTGGCGCTGCAGTCGGGCAGCGAAGGCACCAGCTCGGAGCCTCGCGACGATCACGCAGACGCCTTGTCAGCGGAGGTGAGCAGCAGCAGCCGTCCTCGCCGAGCCGCGACGCTTCGCGGGGCCTTCAGCGCCAGGAAACTCACGGGCGGCCAGGAGGATCCAGGGGGCCGCCGGCGGTCCACCCGGTCGCTGTCAGCCCACAACAACAACAAGCACCAGCCTCCGAACGGACAGGACGTGAAGGTGAGACGAAGCCGATGCAACAAGAAAGCGCAGGCCGACACTCATCATTCTAATCATCTGCTGATGAATGTTCAGGTGGAGGAAGACGACACTCAGCTGGTTTTAGACAGAAACCCTCTGGAGTGGAGCGTAGACGAAGTCGTCCAGTTCATTAACGCCACGGACTGTGCGTCGCTGGCTAACATCTTCAGGGAACAGGTACACAGGTTTTTGTTGGTCATGTTTCTAATCATATTCAGAACTTTTATTTCAAAGGTGATTTAATGAAGTCAACACTGTAATTAAACGCGTCTTCAAAGGCGTCAGGACCGTTCAGTGGGTCTAAAACCAGTCGGGGTTTTAAATGAAACGCTGTCGTTGCAGGACATCGACGGCCAGGCCCTGCTGCTGCTGACTCTGCCCACAGTCCAGGAGTGCATGGACCTGAAGCTCGGACCTGCCATCAAGCTGTGCCACCAGATCGAGCGCGTTAAGGTTGCCTTTTACAAACAGTACGCCAACTGAGTCGAGACTCGGTGAGAGAGCCCCCAGACTCCCACCCAGTCTGGACCAAAGCTGTACTCGTGCACATCTGGGGGAGGGGAATGGATCAGCTGCCTCCTCCTCTCCTCATGGAAATATTTTTAGTAGTTTTTTCTTTAATTCCAAGTACTCTTCTTTTTCTTTTTTTTTTATCTGTTATTAACAAGCACAAACCGGGTGAACACGAGAAGAAATTCCCTACGAGTTCTTGAAGGCAACATTTCTGGGAAACGTTCTGTCTGCAGATCTTTATGCAGAACCCAAAACACAAACTTTGAACTCCCTGCTGCAGCGAAACCAAACACGAGAAACCACCTGGGAGTTCTGCTGATCTGTGAAGAAGCTACTTAGAGAAGAAAGTATTAATTTAATTTAATTTGCCACAGAAGGACATCATAATTAATAATATCATAAAGGACTTTTATTTTTGTGTGTAATTGGTTCCTAAAAAGTATAATGAATGAGTATTTATCAGAACAAGAAGTAATATATTTGCAATATTTATTGCTATCCTTAGTTTTAAGGACCAATCTATCAATTTAAAAGTAGAGGTAAAAACAAATGGGTCGTGATCTGAGTGTAAAGTCCGTTTTCCACTAAAACAAAAACCAAATGTTTTGATTTCCACTGGGTTGAAAACAAGGCAGCACGTGTTGTTTGAAAGAATAACACTTTCCTCTTTGTTACAGGCAGAAAAACTATTTTGTGTCCATCTATGCAATTGTAGTGCAGATATTTTTGATAAGAAATTAAATTTCTATGGATTTTTATCTGGGTTTTGCCTTTTTTCCCCTCTACAGTGAGTCACAGGTTCCTGTCCAACGGTTTTTAGCAGCTGGATGCAAAACAGATGTTTACAGAAACTACCTGCAGAAAGATTAGCATCCAAATGACAGGGAACCCCCTTTACTGATGCTTCAGCAGAGGTCAAAAAGCTTCAAGTATGTCAAGTTGTAGACGTTCAGGGGGGCTAAAGTGTTAACAGATGCACAAGTCCAACACCTCTAAGACCTACCAACCAAGCGAGAGACATCATGAAGACTAAGGATCTTCCCCCAAGTTAGAGACAAAGTTGTGAAGTACAGGTCTGCGTTGGATTTATAAAGAACTAACCCTGATCATTCCACGGAGCTTCAGTAAATCTGTTAGTATCAAATGGAAAGATTATAAAATCACAGCGAACCAGCCAAGGGAGGGTCTTCCCTGACAAGGACAGAGACCCAAGGTGACCCTGATTAAACCTTCTGTCCATGGAAGCTGCACCGAGCTAAGCTTCATGGAAGAGAGTACCTTTTGGCATTTTGGAGACTCTCCAAACTTGTACAAGAAGATTCTGTGGTCAGATGAGACCAACCCTTTTAAAAATCAAGAACAGCACCTTTCGTCCTGCTGAGAACAGCATCTCCACAGTGAAACATGGTGGTGGCAGCATCATGCTGTGGGGAAGAGTGGCAGATTTAAATATAGAGCGGTTCTTGGGGGAAACCTGGGAAACTTGCAGATATTTGGATTCGAGGTTCACTCCAGAGGTGCCTCATGTCTGGTGAAGTTATTTTAATGAACTGGAAACAAACTCTGCCCTTCGCTCTCCATCGATGCGACCCAGACCTCAGTCCAGCCGAGGTTTGTTGTACACCAGATATATTTATCCAGCTCGACGGATCTGGAGAAGTTGTACCATTTTGGTCCCAGTTTCTCATTTGTTTCTCCGTAAAACATCGTAACGTGGCCGCTCTGTTAAAATTCAATCTTTTTAAAGCGGCAAACGAGGGGTTGAATATTTCTGACATTCAATGTTAAGCAGGCCTCCACTTACGTTGTAGAGTGAAATTCACAACCAACCAATAAGAATAAAGTGTCAATTAAACAACTTTATTTTAAACATGCAAGTAATTCTGTTCAATTCAAACACATTCAGTTAAAGAGATTAAATAATTGCTCTTGAGTGCGGCAACTTTTCTATAAGTTCTGACATAAGCAGGTTGTCCAGCATGTTGAAACAATTAAATGAGGTGGAGTTGTTAAATAAGAGCTCTATTTATCAAACGGCATCTATATTTGAGACAAATGTGGCCATTAGTTGTGCATGGAGGCAAAAAGACAGCAGTTTTAGTGCTGATGGCTGTTTGGGCACGTGATTATGGAATGCCATTGAAAAGTTACGCAGTCAAAAATTAACAGCAATATTTTGGTTTATAAGAAAAAAAAGTTTTTTTTTTCTTTTTCAAAGTCATATTTTCACCATGTTATTCATACATTTATAAATGCCATAGTTCCAAACTAAATATTTAATTTACAAACTAAATATTTAGTTTACAAACTAAATACTTAACTTGCAAGTTAAATATTTAGTTAGCATGCTAAGTATTTAGCTACACACTAAGATAAATGTTTAATTTACAAACTAAATATTTAACTTGCTAGCTAACTTTTTAAATTGCAATCTAAATATTTAGCTAGCAAGTTAAATATGTCCAACCTAAATATTTAGTTATCAAATTAAATATTTATTTTGGAAAATAAATATTTAGGTCCAAGCTAAATATTTAGTTAGCAAGTTAAATATTTATGTCCAACCTAAATATTTAGTTATCAAATTAAATATTTATTTTGGAAAATAAATATTTAGGTCCAAGCTAAATATTTAGTTAGCAAGTTAAATATTTATGTCCAACCTTAATATTTAGTTAGCAAATTAAATTTATGTTGGAAATTAAATGTTTAGATTGGAAAATAAACATTTAGGTCAAAGCTCAATATTTAGTTAGCAAGTTAAATATTTATGTCCAACCTAAATATTTAGTTAGCAAATTTAAAAAAAATATTTTGGAAATTAAATGTTTAGTTTGGAAAATAAACATTTAGGTCCAAGCTATATATTTAGTTAGCAAATTAAATATTTACTTTAGGAATTAAGTGTTTAGCTTAGAAAATAAATGTTTAGTTTGGAAATGAAATGTTTAGTTTGGAAAATAAATATGTAGCTTGGAAATTAAATATTTAATTTACATCTAAATATTTAATTCACTGACTAAATATTTAGTTCACTAACTAAATATTTAACTTGCAAGTTAAATATTTAGTTTTTAAATTAAACATTTCTCTTGGACATAAACATTTAGTTTGTAAATTAAATATTTAGTTTGGAACTATGACATTTATAAATGTATGAATAACATGGTGAAAATATGACTTTGAAAAAAATTGTTTTCTTGTGAAAGGCTTAAATAAACCATAATATTGCTTTTAATTTTTGACTGTGTAACTTTATACACGGCACCCCATACGTGCCTGTTTTCAGGGTAGCATCATTCAGTTGGGCCTCTCCGTCCCTCCGCTGCAGCTGAAGTCATTATTTAGCTTTCTCTCTCTTTCTGACACTTTTCTATTGAGTCGTTCTGAAAAAGCTGCTGCCTTTTTCTGTTGCCTGGCAACTTCATATCAAACATCCACTTTGCATGATTTCCCCACAGTTGTGTGTGAATACAAACCAAGTCCTGAAGCTGAGGAGTAAACAGTCAGTTGAGCTGAAGTGGAGCTCAGAGCGACTGTTTTCAACTCGTGGTTTCAATAGTTTCAGTTCGAGATGCGTCGATAGAAATGACAAGATCATTGTTTCCTGAATAACAGATCAAAGCTTTTTCTGAACAGACTTTAAGAAAGATCCTAAAAATTCAATCATGTTTTTTTTTTTTTTTTTTTTTTTTTTTTTGCAGGCAAAGCTGCAGAGTGACAAAAAGCAAACTTTAAATAGTAGAGCAGCATTTATAAAACAACAGAAACACTAATGGCATTTGAACACAATAAATCAGGAGTTAAGGGCTGAACAGTCAAAACCAAGAAGCACTGAAACAATAAAAATAAAGAAGTCACGAGAAAACGTAAAAAAAAAAAAAAATTAATAAAACACCAAACAAGATGGAAAAATATGACATTTAAGGAAACAAAAACATAAATCAACAGGAACAAGAAAGTAAAAAATAAACAAAGAAAAAAGAAAATCATCATTTTAGAAGACGGCATCTGAAAAATATTTTCAAAACTCAAAAAACTTGAGCAAAAATACAACAAAACACAAAACAAATCAAAACACACTGACAGGAAACTCAACCAAACAGGCAGCATGTTTCAGAAAATGACGAACAAATAAACAATCACAACAAACCTAATAGAAAACAGAATTGGTAACGCTGCAGAAAACAAAAGAATAAAAACATTTCAGAATAAAATACCATAAATTTTGACACGTATAGAAGAATAAAAACAGTTTTTCCAACATATCAAAGGTCATGAAAGTGCACTGGAACACCTGTGGTGGTTTTGTCAAAGCATCTTTATAAAATCATAATTTCTGTGTGAAATTAAAGTCGGTGCTCTTCAGTTCAGTCCCCAGTGGAGTCTGTCATGCAGTCTGCTGATAACAAACCTACAGCTGAATGGAACAAACCCACCACCACCTCCCACCCTTCGTCACTGAGAGGCAACAGCAACATAGAACAAATTACATTTCCTGCGAAAATGCAGTGTGAATTCTTACTGCTAACGAACTTTCTGTAAAACAGCTGAAATTAGCTTTAAAAAAATAAAACATGCTGAAATGCAGCCGAAATTGTAGAACAAGCCTAAGTTAGCAGAAGAAACAGAACAGAAAGAACACATATTTGCTGAATTAGGTTGAAATAAGCAAAAATGAGCACAAAAATTTTGAAATTAGCTAAAAAAGCTAAAATTAGCACACACAAAAAAATGGTTGAAAAGTAGCTGAAAGGGCAAAAAGAAGCTTAAAACTACCAGAAGGAAGTGGAAGGAGCTGTGATGAGCTCAAAAAATGGGGAATTAGTTGGAAAAGCTAAAGTTAGCATAAAAACAGCTAAAATAGCAGAAAAAGCTTAAACTAGAAGCAGAACGCTGAAAGGAGCATAACAAGCTGAAATTAGAAGAAATTACCAGGAAAACCTTCAAAGTATCTGAAAACGGCTAAACATAGCTAAAAATGCAACAACAACAAAATCTAGCTGAAAAGGTGGAACAAGCTTAAATTAGCAGAAGAAAGCAGAAAGAACACATGTTTGCCCAATTAGGCTTAAAGAAGCAGAAATGAGCACAAAGTAGTGGATAGTATCTAAAAAAGGCTGAAATTAGAAACAAAAAAAACAGCTAAAAAGGCAGAAAAATACTTAATTTACTAGAAGGAAGTGGATAAAGTTTGCTGAATTAGGCTGAAAAAAGTAGAAATGAGTGTAAAAAAAGTGTGGAATTAGCTGAAGCAGCTAAAATTAGCATATAAACAGCTAAATAGTAACTGAAATAGCAGAAAAAGCTGAAACACATAAATATGGTGAAAGGAACACAACAAGCTAAGATTAACAGAAAGAAGTTAGAAGAAGCACAAAAATGTTGTAGTTAGCAGAAATAATCTGAAAGGAGCACAAAACAGCAGAAATGTGCTGGAATTAGCTGCAAAAATGTTTAAAACTGCAGTAGGAAGCTGAAGGAAGCTGAACCAGAACCAAATGTGAAAGTAGCAGTAAAAGGTTGTAAACAGATCTAAAGATGTG